AAAAGAGAAGCGGGCTACACTACCAATGGCGCTACAGCTGCTGGCCGGGGTCTATGGACCTTCAGCCGAATGCCGTCAGCAGTTCTACGATCGCAGGCGGGGTGAAAAAGAGTCGCCTCTGGCTTTCCGGACAAGTCTTCTGGCGCTGGCAAAAACAGCCTTTCCCCGCATGGACGACGACGGCGTGGACGCAATGGTCGCGGAGAAGATCCTCCTCTTGGCGGACGACCTCGACATCGTCGTCATCGCACAAGGGGATGCAGAAATGACCTCCCTCCAGGCTGCGCGACTCCTCCACGCCAACCTTCTGCAGCAGCGGCGAAAGGCAAACAGGGCATCGGCTGGGCGTGCGGTGGCTGCAGCCACCCTTCCGTCAGAAGAACTTTATGCCGTCGACCATCGACGGCAACAGACGACGGGGGCGCGGCCGGGTCGGGACGGGCCGAGGCGTTTCGACCGTCCATCGTCTCCATCGGCGCTCCCGCGGTGCTTCAACTGCGGCATCCGGGGCCATGTCGCCTCGGGGTGCCGTTCTCCTCGACAGCGGGGGACGACGCCTCGACAGGACGCCGGCCCTCCTCTTACTCCTCCCAAGCTCCAGCACCATGATCCGGCGAGTCGCGGCACCTCACATGTTTGGCCAACGCACCCACCTGTCGCACACTCTCGCACCGTAACGAACGGGGGGCCGGTGGGGCGCTGCGATGGACCGGCGCGGATCACTGCGGGGACTCAAATCGAGCCCGAGCGGTGGTCCGTGTTGGCCCATCGCGTGGTGGCCGCGGCGTCGGGATCGTCGGCCGTGGTCGGTTACATTGATGGGGTGGAGGTACGCATCATAGTCGATACAGGGGCATCGGCGACAATTATTTCGGAACTAATTTACAATATTCTACCGGTGCAGAGCCGTCCTTTGCTACCGGTTAATGTCCCTTTCTATGCCGCTAACGGGGGCTCTCTCGGCATCGTGGGACAGATTCGAGCGCAAATTTCTATCGGGGACATCAAATTGTCGGGGCCGATTTTTGTCTCCTCCTCACTGGCAGTTCCGTGCCTGCTGGGGACGGACTTCTTGGGCAGGATGCCAATTCGTATTTTGATCGACCAAGGATGCATTGAGCTTCCGTCGGGGCGACGTATGGCGTTCCTGCCTTCCCCTGTAGCGACTCGGACGGCGTTCGCGACGGTACCGGCGTTCGTCGTAAAAACAGTGCGTGTGCCGCCGGGGGCACAAATGCTGGTACCTCTTAAACTTCGTAGGCCCTTCGCTAAGGGTGTTGGGGATCAGGGTGTTGTGCTGGGGCCGTCTAGGGCCGGGGTTAATGGGCCTCATTTAATTCCGGCCCAGACCATCGTAAGGGGGGACGAGGATCCCTTCATCGCGGTCCTCAATGTCGGGTCGCAGACAGTAGTGGTTCCCCAAGGGACTGTGCTCGCTCACGCGACGCCGGTGCCCTGCGAGGAACCTGCCGTGAACCACATTGACACTGCTGCTCGGACGCACCCGCATTCGGACGGCGATGAAGGGTGGCTCGACGCGCTTTGTGCGGGATCGACGAACCTGTCCAATTTAGAGCGCCAACGGCTTAGATCGCTGCTAAAGGAATTTTCCGACGTTTTCAGTCGGAATAAATACGATTTGGGTTGTACTCACCTGCTGCGTCACCATATTGACACGGGTGACAGCGCGCCTATTCGCCAAAATCCTTTTCGGTTGAGTCCCGCCGAAAAGGACCATGTCAAATCGGCTGTCGATGACATGTTAGCCGCCGACATTATCTCTCCCTCTACCAGCCCTTGGGGAGCACCGATTGTCCTGGTTAAGAAACAGGATGGCTCGTTGCGGTTTTGCGTAGATTTCCGTCGCCTTAATAAGGTTTCGGTTGCCGACGCATACCCGCTCCCACGGATGGACGAATCGCTGGACGCCTTGGCGGGAGCGCGATTCTTCTCCACACTAGATTTACTTTCGGGATTCTGGCAGCTTCCTCTGGACGATGATTCGAAGCCTAAAACCGCTTTCCGTACACCGCACGGCCTGTTCCAATTCAACCGGTTGCCGATGGGCTTACACTCAGCGCCGGCAACCTTCCAGCGGTTGATGGAATTGGTTTTGGCTGGATTGCAATGGGAATCGTGCCTGATTTATTTGGATGACGTAATTGTTTTTGGAAGAACCTTTGACGAACATCTCCAGAGGCTGCGGGCGGTTTTCCAAAGGATGCGGGCTGCTAATTTGAAATTTAAGCCCCAAAAATGCTATTTGTTTCGCGAGTCAGTGCGTTATTTGGGGCACATCGTGGGGCGCTCGGGTATTGCTACCGATCCCGCCAAAACGCAGTGTGTCAGCTCCTGGCCAATTCCGACCTCGGTGGGGGAGGTGAGGAGTTTTATTGGCTTCGCTTCATATTACCGACGGTTCGTCGCTAATTTTGCTACAATTGCCAAACCCCTACATGCTTTGACATCAAAAGGGGTTCGGTTCCACTGGGGTCGGGAGGAGGAAGTAGCTTTCTGCTCCCTTCGGGATGCATTGGTGAAGGCTCCTCCTTTGACTTACCCCGATTTTTCGAGGCCGTTTTTGCTCGACACCGACGCGAGCAACACAGGTATCGGAGGCGTGCTTTCCCAGGTGGTTGATGGCGTGGAACGGGTGGTTGCGTACGGCAGTCGGGTGTTGTCTCCAGCGGAGCAAAAATATTGTGTCACCCGTAGAGAACTGTTGGCAATTGTTTTCTTCATCCAACAGTACCGCCCATATCTGTACGGTCAGCATTTCACTGTCCGTACGGATCATGCGGCACTGCAGTACGCCCTGAAGGTTCAACAGCCATCGGGACAATTGTCCCGATGGCTGGAGGTCCTCCAGGATTTCGATTTTGACACCACCTATCGTAAGGGCATTCGCCACACAAATGCGGACGCTCTGTCGCGCATGCCAACCACCTCCGAATGCGCATGCCTCCTGGGGTCGGGGCGTTGCAAGCCAGCTGGGGACATGACGGTTCCAGTCCTGGCGGCCGCCGCCGATGTTGACACATCGCTCCCCGATGAGATCGGGAAACAGGGAAGGGATTCCCTGCTTGGGTTGCCTGTGATTGAGTGGGGACGCCTCCAGATGGAGGACGCCTCCCTCCTCGCGCTGCGTCGTCGCGCCAGGGAGAGGGGGTGTGGGACGGGTGATGCCGACAATTGGGAAATACACGCGGGCTTGCTCATGCATTGGGACGGTAAATCCCACCGTCACCGGCTGGTAGTTCCTGCGGGGTTACGGGGTAAGGTGGTGTGGGCTGCTCATGAGCGCCTCCTCCACCTGGGTACCCAAAAGACCCTCGCCTCGCTCCAGCTGGATTTTTTTTGGCCGGGCATGACACGGGATGTCACGGATCTCCTGGCAGCATGCCCCCGGTGTGCGCAACGCAAACCACCAGCTCGGGAGTCGAACCCGCCGTTGCAGTCCATCACAGTCTCCAGGGTGAACGAACTCGTAGCGTTGGATATCCTGGGGCCGTTTCCCGCCACCCCTAGGGGCAATAGATATTTGCTAACAGGGGTCGAATACTTCACACGCTGGCCTATGGCCTGGCCCCTGGCAAATCAGTCGGCAGCAGCCATCGTGGACGCCTTTGTCCAAGGCTACGTCATGGACAAAGGTGCTCCGGAGCGGCTGCTGACCGACCAGGGTAAAAATTTTTCCGGGAACCTCCTCAAACAAGTCTGTGATCTCCTAGGTACAAAGAAGATTCGTACCTCTCCCTATCACCCACAAACTGACGGGATGGTCGAGCGTCTGCATCGTACCATCACGTCTATGTTGTCGCACCTGGTTTCGGAGTCACAGACCAATTGGGACTTGCAAATTCAAGGGGTCCTGGCAGCATATCGATTGGCCCCCCATGCTGCCACGGGATTTTCACCCTTCTTTCTCATGTATGGTCGCGAACATGACCCACCTGTTCGGGCACAGCTGCAGATCCCCGCGCCTCTAGGTAAAATTAAATTGGACGAGCACGTTAAATTTAACCTTCAAAAGCTAACTGAGGCGCGGGATGCTGCCATGCTCAATTCCCGCATGCGCCAAAAGGCGAATGAGCGCCTCAGACTTGCGCGCGCGCACGTGCTGCAGTGGAAGCCAGGGGACAGGGCATGGCTGCACTGTCCCCAGGTACCGCTTGCGACCTCCTCGAAACTGGTACGGCCATGGCGGGGCCCCGTCGAGGTGGTCGAGGTTTTGCGACCGCAGTGCGTTCGTATCAAGTGGGGGAGGCGCCGGTGGTTCGTTCACCCCTCTAGACTAAAACCCTTCGTTGCGGTGCGGGACTCTGCTCCACACGCGCAGGGCCAAGCATGTGAGGGGTCGACCGACCCGGAGGGTCCGCCTCTGTTGATCTCACCTGACGTCTTGCCGGTTGCCCCGCCCCCAGGTTCTCCCGGAATGACGGGCTCGCGCACATCCCTCACGGGGGATGCCGAGGGTCCCGCCACTCCAATTGCGGACTCGCCTCGGATGGGACAGCGGCCACCGAATGGTCCGCCATCTGAGGTTGGCCCTTGTGACGGGCCTGCGGCAAGGACGCGCGCTAAAATGCGCAGACTCTTATAAAAACACTGGAACGCGAACAAGAAGTGAAAACGAAACGAAAATAAGAAGAAAATTTTTTTTTATTTTTTTTGCGTTTTCTGGTACACTTTCGTGTGCTATTGTTGCTGGACGCTGCGTTCGTGTGGCGCTCTTGGCGCGTTGTTGTATTATGGCTGTGTGTGTGTGTGCGTCTTGTGTGCGTGTTGTGCGTGCGCTGAGGGTTCCGGGAAATGTACATATCTTGCCTCTACGGATTTCGTATTTATTCGGGGGGGGGGGGCGCGTCGGTTTGTTCTCCCTTTAGGGGCATTGTTAGTGTTGTTGTTTAATTCTCGTTCTGTTAAATGGAAAAAAAATGGGGCACACACGGGGGGAGTCAAGGGGTAAAGATTCATTTGTTGAAATTGTTGCAGCCGGGACGGCTGCGAGCTATGCGGGGGGGGAGTGATGTAGGGACGTTGGAGAGAGGGCCGTTATGCATGGCAGCCTATGGGAAAGAAACACAGTGGGCGGGGCTACGTGTGTGCACAGGGAGATGCCCTCTGCGACGTCCGAGCCAGACACCCTGGGGGGGGGCTGGTTCGGCGTTACGATCCCCCGGGGCCCCACCCCTCAAGGAGGGTTGGGTATAAAAAGGGGTCGTTATATGGGCTTAGTCAGTTATGTTATAGTTAAGCTAAGAAGTCGGAAGACGTCGTAGCTAGAGCCCTGGACTCCCCCTGATCGCCGCCCTTATCAGGGCCCCACGGGATCAGGCTCGAGCCAGTGGCGTGGTCCCGTGAACCAGAGCCAGTGCTCTGGGACTCCGGGTACCGAGCCCGATTACCAGTGTCGGGCCAGACAGCCTCCCCTAGCTCTTAGTGGAGGACTCAGGGGATAGGCTATGGATAGCTAGGGGTATTCCCTGAGTTATACGGGTGAGGGGGCCGCTACCCCCTCTAGGGCTGTCCTGTACTGGCAACTTGTTAAATAAATATACGTGTGCCTCAACTCCGTTGTCAAGCGTCCTCGACGGGTACTTCATATGTAATCGTGACTACGAATCGCGATAATCAAATCAATGGGGGGTGGGGGGTCTGGTTGGCCCAGCTTGCGTCACTTTCATTGGCGGGTACGTAACCGCGTGCTCTCACTCGTAAGTACTTTATGTTTTGATTCTTATATTTTTTATGGAAAAAAATTTGGAGGACAAGAAGCAGCAATAACGAATCGGTGTTCGACGGGGTCGCGCTAAGCGCGGTCTACCTGTAGTGCGGATCAATGGAGTCGTGCGGCCGATTCCTCTCGTGACCCACGGCACACGGCGGCGGTGCAAACTAATTTTCCGCGGAATACGGGATCCACGCTATGGTTACCCCATACCACGGAAGATGAACAACATTAGGGTCCTGCTGCAGTGAAGATGTGCTACAAAAACACATCGTCAACGAGGTTTGCTGCGTTTGACACAAAAGCTGTTGCACATTTTGAGGAGGGAACAAATATGCAGAAAGCAAAACCGTGCGTGTTTACCTGCAGATTAAGCCAGCGGCTCGTGATCCATAGGCACACAGATGGACCAATGCAGTTTTTGACATCGAGTGAAATCAAGGTCGTATACCTTGCTAGCAGTATAATTTAGGTCCTGCATAATAAAATGCAAACTTGTAACTTTTATCCACGTTATTAACAGTGACGTGCGGTGAGGTCAATGGCTGGAGAGGCACTGGCTAGTGTCAGAGCCAGATTCACACACTGAGGGGGGAGTGGCCTCACTGAGGGGATGTGTTAGACACGTCCCCCACAGTGAGGCAGATGTGATAGCTGCCTCCCCTGGTGCTTTTTCATTGCAGTTTCATGACGAGACCAGCGAGCCTAAATATCTTTATACACATACGTGAAATAAGTTAACTGGAGTATGGAAGACGAGGACATGAAATGAAGGGGTCTACAAACATTACATTGGTGACATACTGAGATAGTAACAGGCACGCGTTTATTGCCCGCGCTCCATCCAGTTACTGAGGGGTTGCACAATCAGAGGGGAGGCTGAGCTCGTCGCTGCCTCACCTCTCGTCTCTTCCTGTATTTGCAGCGGAACTCCGCAAATTTGGCGATTTTGACTATAAAAATGATTGGAATCGTACAGAAATGACATTTATAACACAGATCAGTGGAAAAATCTTAATATTTATTTTATTCTTTTTTTTTACTTTTCGTAACAGCTATTTTCATTGAAGTATGGCAGGTGAGGCTCTGCCTCCCCTGCCTCCCCTGACCGCACGTCCCTGGTTATTAAAACTTGCTACATTTAACAACGGTTGGACTTGTTTTTTAATTAATATTTTAGGATATTGTCAACTGGAGGTGTTTTTAATAAGATTAACAAAAATCATAACACAAAATGCATTTACATTAGTATCACATTCTCACTCGACTCATACGGAGGTCTAAGATTAGGCAAAGTGCTGCTGCATAGCTCCCAATGGCCTGCAGACGAACACCAACCGGCCGATGGCCTGCCCACCACTCGCACCGCACAAGCCCCCCGACTCACAGCGGCTGCTCCAAGTTGCCCACGTCGGGAGGCTTCGGGCGGGCGCAGTGACAGATGGGCGACAGCAGCGACTGGGGCACGGAGCGCAGCGTGGTGAGCGCCAGCACGCAGCAGCCGCGCAGTAGCCCCGGCAGGTTGAAGAAGGGCATCCCGCGCCCGCGGTTACTGCCGAGGAGCCAGGCGACGGCCGGCAGCATGGGCCCGGCGATGGCCAGCGTGTCCAGCAGGAGGTGGCGACTCCAGTAGGCCCGGCCCGCCGTCGGCTCGGAGGAAGGGGCGCCGGCGGCGGCGGCGTCGTCCTCCTCCATGGAGTCGAGCGTTCCGCCGTCGGGGCTGTCCGAGGGCAGCGCGCTGGCGTACGCGTTCACATCCAGGCACACGTGGTCGGGTCGCGTGGGCCGCAGCTCGGGGCTGGACCGCTCCATGTTGTTCAGGCTGCAGCTCCTGCCCATGGTGCCCCTGCTGTAGGACCTGCAAGGGGCGGTGAACTCCTCGGTAGTGTCGTTAGACGCCAGCTTCTCGTCCGATAAGGGGGATCTCGTGAGGCACGCATTGTCTGGCTGCGCTTCTTCACATTCCCGATCGTTGTGATTGCAGTTAATTTCTTTAGTTTCTTGCGTCTTCTCGATGGCGTCCGACTGCGATGCATGCCTTGATTTGCTCTCACGCTTGAACACTTCGTCAATTTTCTGTATGACTGCCTCAAGTTTAGATTCCGCCAAGCGACTAATGCTTTCGGACGTTGTCCACTTCTGTTGCTGGCACACCTGCCCCATCTCCAGGCTGTTATTTTCTGCCGTGTTCATGTCACCCCTTTTTTCCAAGTGGTAGCAATCGTGTCCTGCCGATGAACGGCGGGAGGCGTCATCTCCGAACGCACCACCGTTTGTGTGCCACGTCACATCTTGGGGCCCAAGTGTTTCGTAAATTTCTTCGTCCGTTTGAACTGCCCGCTCCAAACAGATGACCATCTCCGCACTGCTCAGACGCTCTCGGACCACCATCCCAGAAAGGGGACTTGCGGCGGGGCCACATGCTATCGCTGGAACGGCAAACGGTTCACGGCAGTTTACCAAACTTTCAAAAACGATGTCGTCCGAGCCCTCCGTGGAGCCGGTGTCCAGGACGGCGAGCCGCTCATCGACGTCGTCGTAGTCGTCGTCCCCGGTCCACATGGCACGGTCCGTCACGAGTACCACCCCTCCTGCCGCCTGCCGGCCACCGCACGGCGCGCCCACGCACGCGCTGTCCGAGAGCTTCGTGTATGTGGACCTCCGAGGCAGCGCCCTCTTGGGGGAGCAGGGCGTCGACGAGGCGGCCTGAGCTTCCCCATGAGCGGCCGTGCTCTGCGCCACCTCCATGCAGTGGAAGATGCTCTCCAGCCGCCGCTTCTGGTTAATGTTGATGTCGATGAAGTACTTCTGCACGCTCCTCTCCTTGCCGGAGAGGCTGCTCTTCATGAGGTCGACCAGCGACTTGAGCTGCCGTATCTCCCGCTTGGCGTCCTTGAGGGCGTGCTGGGCCTCCATGCGGTGGCACTCCCCGTCCACCCAGTCCTCCCGCATGCGCAGCATCCGCAGCCTCATCTCTTCCACTTCACTCTCCCTGTGCGGGGAAACAATGTTTTCAACAGCGCACGTGAAATAAGTTAATGCGATGTAAATACCCTCCTAATTATTTTTAAGGTAAGTTTTTTATTTTTGCTTGCAAAGGGTTTTTCCTACTAACGCGGTCACTGCCCTCCAGTTCAGCGATGCAGCGTTCAGTAGCAGCTGGAAGCGCACTAGAATGAGATAGATGAGAGTTTTTAATTGTCGTCTTGGAAATTGATAAAAATCACGTTGTGCTTTTGTCTGGATGTCTTCCATCTGTTACTCCTAAAAACTTCTTATCGACTTTCAAAAACAGAGCGATTATAGCAGAGACCCAACCCTCAGCAACGCAGACATCACCATCACACTCGCACACAACGCCTTCCACAAGCCCAGTGTGTGTGTGTTAGTGTGTGTTACGGGAGCGGTGGCGCAATGGTTAGGTAGCGGTGGCGCAGTGGCTAACGCACTGCATTACCAACCCAGCAACCCAAGTTCGATTCCCGCTCACGGCCAACACCAGTGACAATTATCTAAACTGGTCCTGGGGCTCGCCTAGGTCGACTCAGCCTCAGATGACTACCTGGTGCAGTGTGTAAACATCACCACTCGGGAGACAAAGGCGGTCGGGCGTGGTGCTGGCCACCCACCTCCTCGTGTGCCGTTCTGGCTTTCATATGTGCTCGCTAACAGCACCTGCCCCAACAGTCTGTCAAGGCTATACGGGGGATCTTTGTCTGTGTGTGTCTATCTGTCTGAGCCTTTGATGCTTCACCTGGCCTCAAAGTGCACTTGGCCTGGCACAGGCGCCATGGTGACATCACCGTCACTTAGTGGCGAATGGCGGTTGTTGTTGTCGTTGTTGTGTCTGTCCTATGTGGTTACGGCACCTGTCGTCCAGCTGACCCTGCGTGTCCCGCAGCTGCGAGCGCAGGTGGCGGATGGCGACCTCCTTCTGCTGCAGGGGAGTGAGGTACTGCTCGGGGGCGGGCGTGCGCACTCCATGGTTCTCGCTGCACGACAGGTACTTCCACCGGCGGCTGCTCCGAAACACAACCACGCACGCAGCACTTTGTTGTTAGCTGGGCGGCAGTGGTGGTGGTGGTTACGAATGGGGCCTGTACTGCAGGCATACCTCTTGCAGCGCTCAGGATGCATTGCTGGTAAATGCAGCGCTGTATGAAACAGCGTTATAGGAGGTCACTATAACATGGTTCCAATGGAGATACGTACCGACAGCGCAATAGGAAGCAGCGCTATAGGAAGTCACTATAACATGGTTCCAATGGAGATACGTACCGACAGCGCGATAGGAAACAGCGCTATAGGAGGTCACTATAACATGGTTCCAATGGAGATACGTTACTGACAGCACTATTTTTTTAAACCAGAAGTGATATATGAAGGCTTAATTGGGGTATTGGAAATAGCCGTACTGTACACATGATACATGTATTAAAGCATTTTTATACGTAAAAAATAACTTGATGACGTAAAAAATGCAATAAGTAATGTACTCACCATGGCATTCGGTCAGAGCTTGTGTAAAATAAGCACCTGCATTTTTCCATCCATACTGATGCCTTTCCTTTGTTTAGCCACATTACCAGCACTATCACTTGCAGGCCTTTTTCCAGACATTCTGGGTCAAATATGTCATCACAATGAAGCAAAAACAGTTACCAAAGGTCGAGCGATCAAGGCTGTAAACTAAAACTATTTTTTATTTCACCAGGTAAGGCTCACTGAACTATATAGCTGTTTTTCAGAAATCTGGCCACAAATGATAGCTCAACAAAGTGGCTTATCATGTGGACATTTATAGCAGCCAAATACTCTAAACGTATGTTTTAAAATGTGGAGCGAGCACGGGAAGAGAGACATAAACTCCAAATATACAGCAGGCGTCAGGGTCGGGATCGAACCCACGACCTCCTGTATACCAGGCGAGGGAGATAACATCTCGCCACCGTGGCGTCAGGGCTGATGCGCGGAGTCGGAGGCGCTGGTTGGCTCGGCACCACTGAGCGTGCGCACCTCTCTCGCTGGCTGAGCGAGCGGCTCGGAGAAGACCACGTGTTCTCATGCAGGAATTCTCCTCCAGGACAAAGAGCGCGATAAGGAAACGGCATTATTCGAGGCATGCCTGTAGAGCATCGTGGAGGCAGCGAGGGTTGGTGGATCAGAGAAATGTTGTGGTACTGCCTTCCCGTGGGCGTTCAGGTGTCGTACGCTCGCTCGCCAGGAAAAGGCGGTTATAGCAAAAGCCAGGATATTTCTATGAATATTAAATACAACTTGTAATGTTATTTATATTGCGTTTTAACATTAAAAGCAAGATGACAGAAACGTTTCAAGAAGACCACTTCAAGCACCAAATATTAAAAGCCGATTCCTGAACACAAACACTCCAGTGCTGCAGTAGCTACTGCGTTTTTACATTAAAAGCAAGATGACAGAAACGTTTTAAAAAGACGACTTCAAGCACCAAATATTAAAAGCCGATTCCAGACGACAAACACTCCAGTGCTGCAGTAGCTACTGCGTAGTGCAGTGTACCACTGGCATGCCTGGTGTGTGGCGCTTCTGTGTGGAGACACAGCTAACCACAAGTGAGCATCGCGCTCTGCACACGGCTCGATGTTTGATCTTCTGGAATGCAATCTTTAATTTCACAATTCTTTTTCCATTTTTAGGGTGTCCCAAAATATCCCATGAATAGAATCCGGCCAGGTGGCTGGGCGGTACAGCGAGCAACTTGCAACCAGAAGTTTATACTCTTAGGTTTTTTCAGTAAAGTCACGTAGGTAAAAAATAATAAAATAAAAAATAATAAAAGTAATCATAAAAATAAAATAATAAATCACGACGTTTCGGAGGCAACACAAGTCTCCGTCATCAGGTGGGACCGTCACAGCTAGATTTACTGTATCACTTGATACATGAATCCTTGCAGTCACGAAAGCTTCAAATCTAGAACCAGAAGTTTGCGAGTTCAAATCCTGGTTGTGGGGTTGACTCATCATCCCTCTGGGGTCAGTAAAATTACTCCCATTTTGTGGGAAAGTAAATTATGGTTGTTCAATGGAAAGACTCGCCCCCTTGCCATATGAATGTGGAATTTCCAACCCCGACTTAGGGCTGCATGCAGGAGATGAGCATCGTCTCATTGCCCGTTTGTGCAGCAACTCCCTTTGACAAAACTTCTTCCTGTTGCGTGCGGAACGCTGTACATCCATTTCGTTCCACGTTATTCGAGGACACACTGTGCATCTGAACAGCTGTTCAAGTTTTTTCGTGTGACCAGGGTGATAACTCAAAGAGGCCAGGGATGATGACTCATTTGCAAGAGTCACCTGGGCCACCAAAATAACCAAAACAAAACAATAATGCAACATCAGCAAAGGAAGCAAACCAGGGGAATCGGAACAAAACCCAGCGGCATTGTCGGGAGAGTTCGCTCAACGCTTGGTGATGCGGTGGACGAAGCGAACCTGAAGTTGGGGCTGGTGTCACAGCTCCTGCACGCTCCGGCGCTGCAGCACTCGGCCGATCCGGGCCCCGGAGCCGAGCGGGACACCTCTGGGACAGACAGGCGCTTGGGGGTCCCTCCGGGGAGGGCATCCAGACCCAGCTGAGCGCCGGCCGACACCTTGCGCTTTGGGGAGCCTTTGATGGGAACTTGGGGCGTTTTCCTAAAGGCAAATAAATGCATGCAACGGCCGTTTTAAGACAGAGTCAATGTTATAGGCACCCAATAATATTTAGCCGTCAGTCACATTTAGAATCAACATGCATTTAGAGTATTTGGATGCTACTTTAATTTTCCACGTGATAATGATAAGCCATTTCGTTGAGCTATCATTTGTGGCCAAGTCGCTTCTGAAAAAGAGCTATATTGCTCAGTGGGCCTTACCTTGTAAAATAAAAATATAGCTAAGTAGCTAGCTAGCTAAATAAAATCCAAACGCAACGACGCTCCGGACGGCCACCAGATCACTAGTCTTATCTACGGCAGACTATTGCGCCCCAGCCCGGAATAAATGCACACAGAGCTGATAGATACACAACTAAATGCAGCCATGAGGATCATCCCAGGGATGCTAAAGATCACACCGCTGCCATGGCTTCCGGTCCTCGCAAACATCGCTCCTCCTCCACAACTCCGCCTCGATGCCACGTGTGAGAGGGAGCACCGCAAGGCCATCCCAAACCTCCCAATAAACAAGGACGTCTCCATGCCACCACCGCACAGGTGGCTCAAATCCAGAAAACCTTTCTGGCAATATGCAAAGAACCTCCATGATGATGACACAAAGACCACCGAAGCACGATGGAGGGATGCCTGGGCAAACACCACCCTGCTGCAGAAATCCAGCGACCCCACAATCCTCCAACCAGAATCTGACCTACCGAGGTTGGTCCTCCTTCAATCGGATCCGGACACTCCATGGAAGTTGTGGCCACTTTCTCCATGAATGTGAAATTAACGAGAGTCCAGTTTGTGACTGCAGTGCGACATCTCAGACCGTACAACATCTCGTGAACGACTTGCCCAGTCAGATCATTCAGCGGCGATCTGAAACAAATCCAGGCGGCTACTCCTGAAGCAGTCAACTGGATATCAAATCTCGACATCAATTCGTAATCTGTTGCAATCCTCAAAAAACGGCATGCAGAAGAAGAAAAATAAGTGGGTCACGGATCGCAAGGGAGGCACACTCACCTGGGCGAGGAGGCAGGGGAGGTGTTGCGGCTCGACATGGGGACTCCGTGCCGGGCGCGTCGGCCACCGCTGTGCCTGGTCGCACCTGCGGGCGACACGCGCCATCGTGAGAGGAGCCAGTTCCCGCGCGAGCCCTCCTTGCCCCAACGAGTCCCGCAGCACCACACCTGCTGCTCAGCGGCATCAATTGGGTAAACCCTTTGAGCTCCAACCCCCCTCCCCCCACCCGCCCACGGGCATTAAAACATTCACACGTCGGATTCGGGTTGGGTGGTGAGAATTGGCAAAGTGTGTGTTATTTTTCCATCACAGCGACATCCATTGCAGCATCGGAGCAGCCCAGTAATGCACAGTGACGGCAAACGGGAGTGTTCATCGTCGTTTTGTTTATTTTTAAACCTTCGAACGTCAACCCCTATGGACTTCAATAACAAGCTTCAACGCCGTGTCTCCCCCCCCTACCTTCCCTCGGTAGCTGAATTAATTTGCACCGTTAAAATCCATCCTATTTATTTTTTATTCAAGACATTATTATTGTTGCAAATGTTGGTCCGAATGTTTTTGTTATAGGTAAGTAGGGTGGGGATTTAGGTTTATATAATGTGTAGTATTTATTAATCTTTGTAAATATTCTTTCATTTAGAACCCATTGTTCACACTTAAAATGTATTTACAACTCCCATTAAATTCAAAGAAGATGCATTGATTCTTGTATCAGGATTCTAACCATTAACAAAAATAGAACATTGGACAGACAATGAGTGTCTGTCTCCTCTCGTCTCGACCTTATCCCAGCCGTGAAAAGATGATCTGTATTTCAGGATTAAATGTCATAGAACACATTCTCATCTTGAACGTTGAAATAATTTGCTCGGTTTTAAATTTACATGTGGTGAAATTGTTATTTTAATCGAGCTAAAAAACACACATTTTCTCATTGTCAAACTGGTCGTGAAATCCCCTGTCATGGCGAAGCGTATGAGGTCATCAGTTCGGTGACGCATTTGCTGCAGCCTCCGAAAGCCATTTCCACTGTCAATGTTTCGACGGAAGACTGAAGAACGTCTCTCCTCTTTAACTCCCCCCGCCCGCCCCCCACCCTTTCTCCCTCCTCCCTTAACTTCCCTTCCCCATATACAGAAAATAAAATTCACGTCCCTGCCCATAGTCCCCACGCAAGTGGAACAGTGAGCCCATTTCCACCATTTACCCCCCAACCAATGAGTTGTGTGCCCCCCCCCCCCCCCCGTACCCTCCATTGGTCTTGCTCGCGTTCTGTCCCGGGCTCTTGTCAAAAAAAACAATTTAAAAAAATCCCGATGTATCTGCTGCAGGCGAAACTCTAGGTCGGTGTTCTTCATTGCAAGGCCACCAGGAACCACTGGCGGCCCCTGACGTGCAGCCCCCCGACAATACACAAATAGTTAACACACCCCATCATCGCCGTGCTGTCAGACCCCAATGGCTTCAAATGTGCGGTGGCCATCAAACTGATGATGTCTTATTGGCTAAAGTGGCAACCCATCTGAAATTTAGTGAAGAAACCACTGAACTAGGAGCTCGCCATTCTTCCCTGCCGTTTTTTATATCAACAACAGGTGGCATCATGGCCCTAAGTTGCTTTTTGAAATGTGACCAAAGCAGTGCATTTCTGCATTTAGACACTGCGTTCATTTACTGTTACTCACAAAGGTCTATAATCGTAATTCAGCCCTCCTCACGAGAGCTGAGAAATTGTGAACACCTGATGATGCCGAATATAATCTCCAGCAAAAATTTCGTAACATTTTTGTAATATTTTGCTTGCTTTTCAACATTCTAGTTTTCTGCAAAACCAAATCACTTGGTATATTTTGAGCACTCATTTGTGTGCCAGAGATTAGAGCAGCACTTTTAAATGCCCTGTCCTTTAAATGAAAGGATGAAATGAAGCTTCCGTGGTACATTTCACAAATCCGTCATCAATTATGTATGACCCAATGCTGAAAATGTCAAGCGTTTGAGAAGCAGAAGGGAAGATCTGTCATTTACTGCCGATAGTGCCAAATGAGATAGTTTTAATAATTGCGGTACAGAAGGAACTTGGATATTCAATTGTTTTCTTAAAGACAAAACTAAGCTGTTACAAATGGTATAATGCAAGGGGTCATATCTTGAGTACAACCGTTTGCATGGAGAGTGTGAATTAAAAAATCCAATATTCATATAAATTAAATACATTGGGCATTGCACTTAAAATTGCATTTTATCTATATATATAAAATCGTTCATGTCTGTCTGTGTGTGTGTGTGTGTGGACTTTGGCCCATACGCACTTTCATTGGACGGCGGTTGCCCCTGGCAACGGCTAGCCACGCCTTCGCCGCTTTCATTGGACCTGGCAACGGCTAGCCACGCCTTCGCCAAGGGCTGCAGTTTCATTGGACGGCGGTTGCCCCTGCCAACGGCTAGCCACGCCTTCGCCACTTTCATAAGCTCCGTATTTAATTAAATAATAGCCATTACACAGTATTGTTGGAGCGCTGGGGGGGGGGGGGGGAAGGAACGCCACCCGTACCCTGCCTCTTCCAAGCCGACAATTTTAGGCGAGGCCGCAGGCTTTGCACGCTACTAGGCCTCGACACCCACCACGCCACTCTGAGGTAAATTCATCCAAGTTTTTCCTACTCTTCACTACACCCCCACCACAATGTGTGCTATTAATATTACTTTTAAACCCAACGCGCCAACAATCGATTACTTTAATGTTCACTGTACAAATACTCATTAAGCTGGGTGAGCGTACTGCCAGTCTATCATGTACACTGTAGCCTGCTTATTAAGCTCGGTGAGCGTACTGCCACTCTATCATGTACACTCTAGCCTGCTTATGAAGCTGAGTGCGTGTACTGGCAGTCTATAATGTGGACTCTTGCCTGGTTATTATAATCGATTCTTTATATGTTCTTTGTACAAACAGTCATTAAGCTGCTTGAGCGACTCCAGTTCGATTCCAACTCACGCCCACCACCGCTGACGATTATTTGAAACGGACCTGGCCCTCCCCTAGGTCCACTCAGCCTCAAAAGCGTAACTGCTGTCGTGTGTGAACATCGTCACTGGGGAGACAAAGGCGGCGGGGCATCGTGGATCCAAGTCCCCGGCGAAGCCGGGTCATGTGTATGTGTGTTTGTGTTTATGTGTATGTCTGTGTGTCTCTATGTATGTGTGTATGTATGTGTGTGCATGTGTTTGTGTGTATGTGTGTGTGTATGTATGTGGGTTTTTTTATGTCTTTATGTGTATGTCTGCGTGTCTCTATGTATGTGTGTATGTACGTGTGTGCATGTGTTTGTGTGTATGTATGTGTGTGTCTATGTATGTGTGTGTATGTGTTTCTGTGTATGTATGTGTGTGTATGTATGTGTGTTATGTGTCTGTCTGTGTCTGCATGTATGTGTGTGTGTATTGTGTATGTGTTTGTGTGCATGTATGTGTGTGTTTGTGTGTATGTGTATGTCTGTGTGTATGTATGTGTGTGTATGTGTGTGTATGTGTTTGTGTGTATGTGTGTGTATGTATGTGTGTGTATGTGTTTGTATGTGTTTGTGTGTTTACGCTCGCATTACACAAATGTGTTGCTGGTCTAAGGCGTTCCTCGCACAGCATTGCCGCTTTATAGTTTCAGTCGTTTACTGCCTTACGCACCCTGAAAGTCGTGTGTGTCTGCAGCAAGCGCGTGTATGTGTACCTATGGACGCGCGCGCGTGTGTTGTGTAGGGGGAACGGTAGTGTAGTGCTTAGCGTGCTGTCTGTGTCTGTGTGTGTGTGTGTCTGTCTGTGTCTGTCTGTGTGTGTCTGCGTGTGTCTGTGTGTGTGTCTGTGTGTGTGCGTGTGTGGTGTGTGGGGAGCGGTAGTGTAGTGCTTAGCGTGCTGTCTGTGTGTCTGTGTGTGTGTGTGTCTGTCTGTGTCTGTCTGTGTGTGTCTGCGTGTGTCTGTGTGTGTGTCTGTGTGTGTGTCTGTGCGTGTGTGGTGTGTGAGGAGCGGTGGGTGTAGTGCTTAACGCTGCGCTGCGCTACCAACCCGGCGAACCCAGTTCCATTCCCGCTCACGGCCACCACCGGTGACGATTATTTGAACCTCCCCTAGGTCCACTCAGCCTCAAACGAGTAACTGGTGTGGCGTATTAACATCGGCACTTGGGAGACAAAGGCGGCTGGGCGTGGTAGATCCAAGTCCCGGGCGAAGCCGGGTCATGTGTATGTGTTTATGTGTATGTCTGTGTGTCTGTATGCATGTGTGTATGTATGTGTGTGTATGTGTTTGTGTGTATGTCTGTGTGTGTATGTATGTCGGTTTTGCCGCCGTGGTGGATCCAAGTCCCGGGCGAAGCCGGGTCATGTGTATGTGTGTATGTGTTTATGTGTATGTCTGTGTGTCTGTATGCATGTGTGTATGTATGTGTGTGCATGTGTTTGTGTGTATGTATGTGTGTGTGTATGTATGTGGGTTTTTTTGTATGTGTTTATGTGTATGTCTGCGTGCCTGTATGTATGTGTGTATGTACGTCTGTGGATGTGTGTGTGTGTCTATGTATGTGTGTGTATGTGTTTCTGTGTTTGTATGTGTGTGTATGTATGTGTGTTATGTGTCTGTCTGTGTGTCTGCATGTATGTGTGTGTGTATTGTGTATGTGTTTGTGTGTGTTTGTGTGTTTACGCTCGCATTACACAAATGTATAATGCGGGTCTAAGGCGTTCCTTACACAGCATTGCCGCTTTATTATTTCAGTCGTTTACTGCCGTATGCACCCTGAAAGTCGTGTGTGTCTGCAGCAAGCGCGTGTATGTGTACCTATGGACGCGCGCGCGTGTGTTGTGTAGGGGGAACGGTAGTGTAGTGCTTAGCGTGCTGCCTGTGTCTGTGTGTGTGTGTCTGTGTGTGTGTGTCTGTGTGTGTGTCTGTGTGTGTGTCTGTGTGTGTGCGTGTGTGGTGTGTGGGGAGCGGTAGTGTAGTGGTTAGCGTGCTGTCTGTGTGTGTGTTTCTGTCTGTGTGTGTCTGCGTGTGTCTGTGTGTGTGTCTGTGTGTGTGTCTGTGTGTGTGTCT